CGGCTACGCTCGCCGCGGAGCCGCCCCGAGCGTCCCAGGAACGGCCTCCGGCACCGGGACGCTCAACCCTCAGCCAAAGGCCACCAGGCTGCTTCCCCGCGCACGAGCGCCGGGCTCTTTTAAGCCGAAATCACACGCTGTTCCCTTTTCAGGGGTCTGAATAGCCAGATTATTAAGGCTCAGGACCCGAGGGCTCGGCAGCTTAGTAACAAGATAGGAGGCCTTTCACCTTCGCAGCTTCGAAAAAGCTGCTGGCGGCAGGAGCAGACGCGAGGTGTAACGGCACGTCGGCGGGTTGCATGAAATACGCCCGGAAAGGAGCTCCTGACGGACAGGTGACAAGTGACAAAAGCCGTCGGCACTGCTGCCAGTTAGTCCCCTTGCTGGCAAGAATAAGGTCTGAACGGGCCACCAAGGGGGAACTTCAACTACTGACCTAAATTTCCCAGGCAGCTCTTTTCTCTCTCTGCGCACCCCAACCGCCTAAAAAGCGTTATGCACTCGTTGCCCTAGACTGCGCGTCTCGGCGCCGCTGCAAAGATGCCACATTTCACCCCAAAGTGGCTGCGTTTCAGAAGCGAGGAACTCGCCCTCGCATATAACTTGCGGCAGTTGAAGGGACCCCCGTCAACTTGAAATACGGTCCGCTGGAAAGAGCCGGCTCGCAATAGCCCAAGAGCTCTCAAATCAACCCCACAAGCAGGGAAGCAAACCAAGCACTGGTCTGCTCTTTATTCAAAGGAATAAAAAAAAAAAAAAACCAAACTGGCATAATAAAACACACGTCCCTAACTAGTCGGCTAACTCCGTTTTATCAATGCAAAGCCTATTCTGCATTTCCAAAATACCAATCTAACTGAGCTTCATCCCGCTACCACCAGGTTCCCAGGTCCGTCCGACGCAGCCTGATTCTACAAAGGGAACAGCGTCACTTTTTCCTGTATAAGAAACGCTGTCGAATACACAGACAAGCAACGAAACCCTCCTCGAGCCAACAGTCCCGGCTGTTCCAGGACAGACAGGTTCATACGGAGGCCGATTTTAACGGGATGCCACCCCACAACGTGAAAAGGCCGCTTCGTTTTCTTAAGCTCAAGTTATCGACTCGCTCCTAGCAGACAAACTGCAGAAGACAGCTAAGAAAAAAAACTTTTCCACTGAGGGAAAAAAAACCCCAAAGCCCCTGACTCAGCGCTTGAACCCGATTCTGATTGATTGCCATTGAATCTGCTTCTTACGGCAGCTCCGCAGTTTGACATTTACATTCAAATGAGACGGCCACATTGAGATGGGATCGCAACCAAAACCGCTGACAAAACACCGCTTAATTACTAGTTTTCCATATACCCTCGGTGTTCCCCCCCCCCCTTTCACTTCTTTGCAGTTCTGTAAAACTTCGCCGGGGGAACAAAGGAACCGGAGCAGCTCAAGAGGGCTCTGAAATACGCAGGTAGCGGGTGTAAGAGCAGAAGTCACAGCTGGTTAGGCAGCAAGAGCAAATGTTTTCAACGTGCTCCTCATCCGGAAAAATCCCAAATCACTTCACAAAGACAGAGCTCTCCCTCTCCCGCGGAGGTGCCACCCACTCCAACAATACAGACGAGGAGTTTTTAACGTTACGCACCCGCTCTGGGCAGAAAGGGAGAATTATCGTCACCTTATCCAC